TTTTCCTCAGACAGGCTTTCACTTTTAGGGGTAGAACTGCGGGAGAGGAATCTTTATCTCAAATCTTAATGCCTACTTTCTTTTGACGATATGCCGTTCAGAACCACCCAAGAAGGCGAGCACTGCTCCTCCAAGTGAACAGAAGAAGCGGGTCAAAAAGAAGGGTCAGTAGCTTTTCTTCTGGCGTGACACGCCCAGTCGGTTTCCGAATTACATGGCTAGCACGGCGATGATTTTCTCAGATATCGATGAATCGGAAATGATTTCAGCACGGGGTCAGCGTTCAACCACCGCAAAATCCTCGGCAACGGTCAGTAACGGTTCAACCGGAACAGGTGAGTCACATCAATAGAGGGCAAAGCTCATAGCTATTTCTGTTCATTCACTCGGGAAGGATGTGTTTAATGTACGATTTCCAAAGTTCCATCCTGAGATACCCACCAAATCACCAGCTGTGGTTCTCAAGGTCGTTGGCGGACGCTCCGCCCATTTTACTCGGGAATTCAACGAACGGCTAAATTTTGCGCCGATTTCCAAAAACCACCGTCAAGGTGTGTAGCATCACCACGCGGTCAAATGTGCGTCAGCGTTAATTTTTTATTGAATCAAACAGATTTACCCTCCATTTCAAAAAACGAGAAGAGCGTCGGGTGCAGACCATACACCACAAGTGACGACGGCCTCCAAGTAAATCTGGTTAGTAGTGTTCATAGTGATAGCTGATTTTGGTAAATGATAGTTGTAATTAGTGACAACTGATAGAATACAACTGCAACAGGCTAATCATTTCATTGGCAGAAAACATTAACATTTTGTGGAGGCCGTCGTCACTTGTGGTGTATGGTCTGCACCCGACGCTTTCTCGTTTTTTGAAAGGGAGGGTATCTGCATAAGCCAAATATGACGTCTTGCATAAATGCCCTGCTGGATGTTAATCTTATAGAGAACCAGCAACCGTGTGCTGCTGACACTAGCTGGTTTTTTATGCGTCGAAGCGTCAAAATAGACGACACCATTGAGGTGTATTCTGAATTTTATTCCGTGGTTTATATCAATTTTTTACTTTGGCACGTTTTCCAAGATAATTTCCAGGCACATCTCGCGATCGAATGTATTTCAGTCATCGAAAAGATCTGTGCTGATTGTCCCAATAGTTATGAAAAAGCAAAAAAAACAGCTAAGAATTTTCAAAATAGCGCGCTGGGGCCAAGCAATGAGATTTCTCGTGTGGGCGGAGTTTGCGCCCCACCAATACGGGGATCTCATTGGTCGGTCCCAATGCCTTCACCGTATTTCACCATAACAGAGAGCCGTTGACCAACGACATTCGCAGACATAGGTGCACGGCGCAAATTCGGCCCGTATGATCAGCTCGATCTGTAATTTTTATGAATTTTTCAACTGTTTTTTCGGCTTCTCATCACCACTTGTGAACCAATCAGCGCAAGTACTTCTATTTTCAGACACAATAATCTAAACCTATTCAAAAGAGGGAACTGCCCTCGATACTGGAGAGATTTCCGCGCGCTTACCGAGGCGCAAAGGCGACAGAAGAAGAGCTCATACAGCTCATCTTACATTCTTCAATGTGTACGACGCATTAATTATTCTGAGTGCCACTATTTTGGTAGAGCGTTATCGCTAGTGCTTCTATCGATCGCCCCTTTCAGAAAGATCAGAATCACAAAATGGCGATGGCGAAGGTTACGTCAGGAAAAGGCAAATGTCAACCTTTGAAGAGATTATGGAACGAGCAGTTAGAAAGGTAAGTTCAACAACAAATGGAGCAACTCCCCTTTTTTCGCCTGAAATAAACCGTGGTAATTAACAACGGAACTGATGACATTACGTGGACGCAAGTTCAACCACTGCGCAGTTCGAGAAAGGCACGTGAGAGGTTCCTCCAACGCTACGCTGTCATGGGCGGAGGACGACAGGACGGCTCGAGACCATGCGAGTGTGAAATGTTCGGCGCTCGCGAGAGAACCGTGTATATCGGCTGCGAAACTGGACGTCCGTGGCACTTGAGAAACGTGTGCAATTCGCTCCAGAGGTTGACTCCTGCGTTCCATGCCATAGTTAGCTAGCTGTATTGGTTTGGTATTGCATAAAAAAAGTGTTGAAAAAAAAATGGAGGTTGAGGAAGAGGAGCCGCGGATGGCAGTAGAAAATACCCCGCAATTGTCAAGTCTGCGAGCAATTCATCGCCTCGCGCGCTATTTTGCTACGATTTCGTCAAGTATCGACCTCGCCAAGAGCGCTGGCTTCATTTCTATTTATATAAGTGGGTACCCGATTATTAATCAATGCTCATTTCTGCTTGTGGACTGATGAAATTTCGCTGTGATTTTTTTGTATCTTAAATTTTTCATTCTGGTGGTAGGTTAAAGGTACCTGGTTATTTGTTGGAATGATAATCAGAAATGGCCGGTATGGCTGATAAGTGGGACCGAATCGCAACACCCGCCGCGTATTCTGTGTTACACTCCTCAACGTACTGCATATTGAGCCACTTATATAAAATCTGCCGAAAACTTTACCAAAGTCAGTTGTGTCGCTCATCAAGCAATACGCCAAATCCATCGCTTGTTATAACTTTTGGCTTAAATAGTGAAGTCTCTACAACATAATATTAGGTCGACTTCCCTTATATGCTTAGCTAACAAAAATTTTTCTCTTAGTTACGCATCTAGTTTAATGCATTTCCAGACATCGAAACATGAACATTGAAGATCAACATCACCAATTCGCACATCCCGAAAATGGCAAACGAAAAAAGATGTACGTTCCTTTTACTTAAAATTGCCGTTCACCTAGGAAAATCCTAATTTACATGGAAAATATGAGCGGTGAAACATTCAGGTAAGCTTGGGGTCATACCTCGGTTGCCACAGCGATTGGATCCATAAGCAGGGCAGGTCCGATTTTTTTCTACTTGTGTAAAGGTAGCGCTGTGGTGCTTTCCACGCACAAACTGTCCTGGAGATAATTCGCGAACCTAGTCGGACATGCGAGACTTCCATTCCTTTGGAGTCGATTGAATGGTAGACGACTCCTTTAGAGGATAAAAACATTGGCTAGCACATCGGCTGCATCCGCAAGTATTGCTCGACCAAATCGCAGCTAAAGCAACACCCCCAGCAGAAGTCGTGTCGAAGAATCTATTAGTGGGTGGATAGAGTAGCCCACGAGTATCACAGATGTGCCGTTGTCGCGGCTCGAAAGTGCGCGACAATGGCGCTAGGGACAAAGTGAACTTATGGCGACTAATCTTAACGTATGGACGAGTTACGTCGCGCACACCCCATGACACGCAACGTGGATTACGGCGTAGCGGCTAATTCAAATACGCGCGGGTTAGTTGAGCCGTGGAGCAGAAAAGTCCGTGCAACTCGTCTGGCCCCGCCCCTTCCTTATTTCAGAGGGATCCACAATTCAACTATTGACCGATATGACCCCACAACTTTGATCCGAGGGTGTTGCTTTGAGTGGTAAAATGGCGCTACAATTCAGCTAACAATAGTTCTGGTGGAGGTTCTTTTTGGAAACTCTGGTGCTATCCTGCCAACACCGGAGAATTTAAGGCTTATGGTTAGGGAGCCCGGAAAGGGATCCACACATCCATTTCCTGCCCATGCCGTGGTAGCAGCGCTACTTGTCCCTTCTTCCACAACAATATGGCAAGATCATAAGACATCCTGGAGCTCGTTTTAGCTTTCAAGATACCAATCAATAAACGCATGGACGAGTTGGGTCGCGCACACCCATGACACGCAGTGTGGATTACGGCGTAGCGGCTAATTCAAATACGCGCGGGTTAGTTGAGCCGTGGAGCAGGCAAGTCCGTGCAACTCGTCTGGCCCGCCCCTTCCTTATTTCAGGGGGAAATAAGGAAGGGGCAGGGCCAGACAGAAAAAATATTCATTTTGCTGCTCAGAACTGTCAGGTCGTATAATCAACTGAACCCCAAACACCTGAAAGGACTTCATGCTTATCGTTGCAATAGCTAGCATCTTTTAATTGTTTTATTTTGTATTCCGAAGGCGATTTTCAGTGTTGATGGCGCCATCTGTCTCCATTGACACCACGACAATACACTTCGATCAGCCCGTTGGGATAACCCAGAGCTGCGAGAGGAACTGCTCGACTCAGAGGAGGAGTTTGCTTTGGACGGTTCGTTCCCTGACAGAACTCTTGATGATAATATTTGCGTTAATAGACCCGTAGTCTTTTAATGACCACCTACACATATTTCAGCCGTTCCTCCAGCGCTCAGAGAGGATTCGTTAATTGTGGACGAAATTATCAGGTGAGCTCATTCCTCATGGTGATATCACTGCAATTACCATCTATACAGCGCCTCCAGCTCTTCTACAGGTGCTCTAGCTTTATCTGTAGACCGGGGAGTATAGCCATCATCGTGAAATCGCGCATTACTGATCGATATGTATGTTTGGTGTTCATCGGGCCTTCCGCGCAGCAATGCGCAGAGACGAAAGGCAATCTTGGACAATTTCCTTGTCTACTGTAGCAACCCATCGTCAAACCATTACCTTGTAGTAGAGCCTTACTTTGACCTTGCATTTTGGGACTTTCCTTACCGAGACGGGCAATCAGTGATTTCAAACGAGAAAGAAGTCAGGAAGAGAAAGCTCCTGTAACTCTTTGACAGGGCATCTAGTCAGCACTCGAACTGGATGGGGGGTGACGAATTTGATCGGAAGACTTACTTTAGCAGGCTCCGAACGTGCACGGCCGCCGTTATTGTCGTGCGGGTTCAGTCCGGTGGTAGCTTTCAATGAACTCTCGGCTACTGTGAGGAAACAGCGCGAGTTCAAGAATATAGGCAGTAATACGAGTTTCTGCGTGGCGGGGATATTTGTCAGCAACGCAGAGTTATACGTATTTGCTCTTAGAGTACTGATCAATCTGTCTCCATGCTCCTATCCCATCCTGCTAGTTCACCTTTGCGCGCCCCCGAATTCGACTTACTTGAACACTGAGAAAACGTTAGCAAGACAAGGAGCGGGGTGGTATTAACCATCACACCAAAAACTTCAAAATTCTCATAAAAGTCGTGAAATTTCCGCAAAATTCTTGAACTTTTACAGGTTTCACAGAATTTCGTCAAAAATTTCTACAAAACTTATATCTTCCGAAAAAAAAGTCCCTACACTTCAAATAACTCCAACTCTTTCTCCAGAAAAAAAAACATACACTGACAATTACACTAGCAGAACCCCTTTCCCTGAAGGACAAATATAACAGCTTATAGACGATCCTCCACGTTGGCCTAGAACTGCCAAAATCAATGACCGCTCAATTCATCCTTATCCAGGTTCACCTTCTAACTTTCAGCGAAGCCACACATGCTGTCGACTACAACCCGATCGATCATGATCGGCGAGATGAAATGATTTCCGGCTGGAGTTCCGACGACGGTGAGTTCAGCATTGTCTCATGTAGACTTCTCATTCTCAAGCTCCAGTTTAAGATGTGATGACAAATCCGCAGAGTAGTCCACCCTTTCAAAACTGAGGTAATGGGTACACTAACAAGGGAGGTCTTTCAGGACATGGAGCGCTTTTTCAAAATGGTTTTCTGAATGTTGTAGAGGCTCATGTGAGGAACACAGAACCATGGTCCATTTTTCCTGAACGCCCCCAGGAATGTCAAAACAGCGGGAAGAAATGGTCCAAAGTTCGATCCTCCGTGATGACAAATTTTTGCAATTTATGTTGGCGCCTCCAAATTGCCGCAAAACACGACAATGACATCTATTCTCGATGGCGCCATTTGGCGGCAATCTGGGGGCGCCAAACTATATTGCAAAAATTAGTCATCACCGGGGATCGAACTCTGGACCATTTCTTCACCACTGTTTTGACATTCCTGGAGGCGTTCAGGAAAAATGGATCATGGTTCTGTGTTCCTCGCATGAGCCCCTACAACATGCAGAAAACCATTTCGAAAAAGCGCTCCATGTCCTGAAAGACCTCCCTTGTAAGCTTAGCGCTTGTCCATTGGTGAGATGGGGTTGGTAGTTAATTTAATCAGCCTCCAACCTAGAGAGAAGTGGTAAAACGTTTGGCATTCACCGCCTTATCGATAAACGATAAACGCAGATAAACGCACGTTTTGTTTACATTCAAAACTTCAATGGTATTCAAATATCTAAGCAAGGGCTCCTTGAGGCTGAATAATGTGCAGCTTTTTATGTTCCCAGATGATTCTCTAATCGTTACCAAACCGGGATAGGTGAAAGCAGGGCCAGTCTCATTTGGGAAATTCCGAACTGTATCGGTTAATTTTCAAGAGAAACATCGTATTTGGCGAAATCGGAAGCGGTGAACAGATTATTATAAGATTTTAGAAGCCTTTACCCACAAGTTCATACAGATTTCGGAAATTTGTTTCCCCGCACCACTTCTCGGGTCCACGGACTGTTTAGAGATGGAAGGCAGGTAGGTAGGCCCAGACAGGGTTAACCGCGCGTTGTGCAGTTCTCAACTCAACTGAAGGGGTCGTATTTGAGTTTTTTTTGGATACAGAGGTCGTAATTAGGGTTGATTTTTGAAGTTGGATGGATGATGGATTGTTATGGCGAGAGATGGCGAGAGAGGGGTGTTCATTTTAGAGGGTTCTTGATGATTTCGGGGAAAACTCTATGAAATAAGCAAGAGGAAAAATTAGGATATTCCGTTCTTTGGACACACTTACCCCCTCCCCCAACTTGGACGGCCATTTTGGAGGATGTAGGAAAATAGGGAGAAAGGGAAAAGTGGGCGGAGTAGAGCTGTGCCAACTGGTCTCAGAATTATCAGCACCAAATACTTTGAAAACAGCCATGATGGTGAGGGTGGTGGTCGGGGATAGGGGGAGAAGGTCGTATTGGGGAATCCCCCGAGGCTGATGGTGGCGGAGGGGGTATCGAGACCGCCCGCCCCGCCGCCCCCCCATATAGGGAGTCTGGGAAATTTGTGGGCAATACTTGCGCCAGGCGCACGGTTGAAATCTTACGATTAGTCCGGGAAAGCTGAAGAATCACCGGGTAACGTCGAGGTTACAGAGCAGTAATGGAAGGGCAAGAGGCGTGTGGGGTATGAACCTTCACTTTGAATGGATGAGCCGGCGTTTGCCAGAGCCACCTTCAGTGGAACTTATTTTGGTCTGGGGCAGAGAGCCCTTGAGGGCAAATGCAACTGTGGCCTATCAAGGAAGGAGTCCAGGTCGCAGGAATTTGAACTGTCGAACTCGACGCTGGTCTCGTAGAGAAGAAGCCCCCAAGGCCTGGATATATAACTACATTTGGGTCAGATTGAATAAATTAAAGGGAGAGGCCAGGAGATAGAAGTGGTGAGCTTAGAGGTCGATGATGGTGAAGCTGGAGTCTACCATAAGAAGTGGGCAGCGAGTAGAGACAATAGGAGCTGTAAGAGAGCAGGAAGAGAGGACGAGAGAAAGACCTGAGGCAAAGAGCGACACGGGTGGGGTGATTCTCCCCTCGCCGAAAAAGGAACTCCGGAGAAAAAACGCAGCGGGGGTCCGGACCCAAGGGAGCGTACGAATAAACCTAAGCTGCCGGCGCATCTCTACCTTTCTTCATCAGTTTTTTGCCGGGATTTACCGACCCTGTAAAGAGCAAGATGTGCAGCATTATGGGGTATTCCAGACTTCCAATTAAGAAAGAAAAACCATTATAAACAAAACAATTAAAATGGTTCGTTTCGCTCCTTCCTCAGACGAACCTTATTATTTCGTCAATCCCCGGAGCTCATCAGTGAGTTGGGATTGGCGAAATAAAGACACAGGGGAAAGACGAATAAACCTTCCAAACCTTAGATGGTATCTGCAATACGGTAATTCTACCACTGTGTCCTTTCTGCACACCTATCTGCTTGTTTGTGTTTGTTGTTAGTGTGTGTTTGAAGTGTGATTCCTTCGATTTCAGATGACTACTCTACAGTAGATCTCAGCCAAATACGAAAAGATAACGGTAAGCTCTTCTGAAAATTCTCTTTTTTCATGCTCTCTAGGAACACGTCTTAACAACTTCTGGAAAATGGTTACTGTTCTTTGATGTCACGAAAGGTGATTACAGATCATGGCACAACAATTGTACCAGTGCGTAGACGTGCGTTTCAAGATGCCCATTATGAGCCAAGCTTGGACGTCGTGGACCACGCCTAGTCGTTTCTCCACTAATTTGCACATTTCAGATACTAAGAGCACTTGTAAGTAGACACAATTATGACATTTATCCAATATAAAGATGCTAAAAATTGAGCCAGCTCCAATTGTGGACGTGTAAATAAAGACCCCCCTACCTAAACACTAGTCGAGGTAGCACTAATTCAGTTAACCGATCATGGCGCCTATGCTAATGCGATGGCCACTCATGAAAATATACAGCATGAATAATCAAATACGTGTCGTTCAAATGAATCAATATTTATTCATAAAATTATTTTACAGATCTGCCAAATTCCGACTCAACTGGGAGATTTGTTTTGATTGATAGAAGATTTTTGAAGGAAAGATAATGTATCAGACACGTGAGCTGCATTCTGTCCACCTGCTTACAATAACAGGCCTTATAAGAGATAGTCGGCGAAATGTAGAAAGGACTCGTCCAATAAGTTCCAATTAGTAAACCATTCTGCCAACCGTAGAAATAAATGTAATTCAGCAGAGAATCGAGTTCTTACAGTAACGTTTGTTCAGCGAGTATTTCACCGTATCCACTGGGCGGCTCTTCGGTGAATTTTCTGAATTTTACATCCAAAATTGCCGAGTCGTCTACGTAGACTAGGGGATAAGCCTGAAAATGTATAAATACTTCAACGACTAGGGAAACCACTCTCCGAACAAAACAAAAAGGAAGGATGAGTTGTCAAAATAATTTTCGTTCCATTCGAAAGATCCCGTCAAATCAATAAGCTTTCAGAACAGCTAAAACGCTCGACCGCCATGTCAGAAAACATGATAATAATTCATACAAACACTTATCGCCGCCATTTGTGCCACCGGAAACACCACTGAGGCTGGTGTCAGAGTACGCGAATACCGATTCGCGCGGTGAATTGCGGACTGTAACACCAGCCTTATCTTAGTTTTTTTGGGACCAAAAATTCCCAAAAATTACCGCAGAAAGTATGGCGCTACTTTGGCGCAACAAATCTTGCTCAATAATGTTCAATAAGCCTTTTTTCATTTCCACGGCAATAATTCTTAAGTGAAAAGGTATCTTGTTGTAGAACCAAACGTTGGAAAAAAAAACTCCGGAAAGACAACTCACCGGTCCTTTAATACCCGTTATGCTCGGCTCTAAGGGTTCGCCATTCAACAAGAATTTCAATTCGACGTGATCAAAGCAGACTCCCTAAAGACAAACTCTAATACCATGTCTTGTTAATGTTATAAAGCAAGCTCTCTAAATGTGGGAAAGCTAAGGATACGGCCAAGAAAACCGAAAATTATGCAGAAAAAATACTCACAATGCAATCTCCTTCAGAAACAGGTTTAGTAAGCTTAGCAATGACAGTTCCGTTTGCCATCACATCGCCATTGTCGCGAATTCCCCAAAAGTTACTTGTGACCGGCACTGCATCGAGGGATGCATGGGAATTACCAAGCCCGATTCCAAAGGCTCCTTACGTCAGGCAAATGAATATCAAAAAATCGTGAAAAAACCGGGAACCTGACGAATTATTAAACGAGAACTACCAGCCAGAAACTACTTACCGTTTTGGTTGTATATTTACTTGGAAGTAGGCCTTATTCTGAACAATAGGTAATGTTCCCAAAGCGCCACCCGTACCACAAATCCGTTCTCCTTCTTTGAGAATGACGACGTCCTTTCCTGAAGAAAAAATACAACATCTTATGCGAAATTTCATTCACTTTCTTCGAATTTGCTTGCAGATTGCACACTGCAGCTGCATTTTCTCTGCAATTGGACGCCCGCTCAAGTTTCTGAGGGAAATCCATCATTTCCCAGAATTCATTCCCATCTGTCTCCTTCGCACTAATACTCAAACGCAAAATCACAAGCACAAGCGAAGACGCGAGGAATTTTCTGTTTAATCCTCAGCTCGCAGTAAGTACAGATTAGACCTCTCTTTCTGGAGCCATTGGCAGGCTAAATGTTTAGTACAAACTAGCATATGGTGTTCAAGTGACATTAATTGTGAAGTGAGGCATGAATGCGAACCAAAAATAACAAGCCATTTGCGTCACTACGCTGTTAAACCATTTAAGAATAGAGGCTGAATCCGATAACTCATACGAGGGTCTTCAGAAAGTTTTTGAAGAAGAACAGGCTCCCGGAAAGAAACAAACTAAGACACGGACGATCTCCTACCTTTTTTTTAGGTTCACAGCTAAAAATTTTCGAGAATAAACAAATTGAACGTTGGACTGGTATTTTAACATGATTATATCAAAGCAGTGCAAAATGAAACTGAGGATTTTACGGCTTTCTACAAGAACAAATCAAGTGCCACACGAACAAAAAATTGGCGATTCTGCTACAAGACCTAGCTTCGTCCTAATTTCGTCCACCATAAAGGTAGAGGCCGGACGCATAGTCGGTCGGACGACAGCAACGACTGCAAGTGTCGCACAGTATTGGGTGCGTATCGATCTGCGGCACTTGCAGTCGTTGCTGTCGTCCGACTGCTGCTGTCGGACGACAGCAACGACTGCAAGATCAATACGCAGCTACTATTCCACACTACAGTGGGACTTTCGAAATACGATCACGCGCAGTCACGTGTTGTCTGGGTTTGCATTGGGTGACCGCGTCGCCTTCCATTTGCGACCGCGGTTTATGCGACACCTGCAGTCGTTGCTGTCGTCCGACAGCAGCAGTCGTTGCTGTCGTCCGACCGACTATGCGTCCGGCCAGACAGAGAATTTCAACGTTTAATTGTAATTGTTCTGAAATCATTTTTGAGGACAGTGCACTTACCACTTTTAGTGACATCGAGGCGATTCGAAGGCGTCAACGGAACGCTCAACTGTGAGTAAGATGCCGTAGCTGAGAATGACGGCCCTTGTATACATTCCAAACAATTGTCAAAATATGGTACACAACAAGAGAAAAGGTTCATCTGAAAAAAAGTAGTCATTGATACCACCAAAACACAAAAACAGACAAATAACGAGGAAACTATTTATCAACAAATGTGTGCTAGATGCTCGCCTTAATTTCATCTCCTTAAGAAAAAGGAGATAAATGACGCATGCATTTAATCAGGAAGAA